CTAATATAAAAGTGGGCACCACAGTTGTGACCATCAACAGAGCCTCTAGGAAATGGGATTAGCCACCTAGTCGGGCAGGGACTGATGGCTCTGACTCTGCAGAGGGTTAGGGGATGGGACTCCTGGAGCCAAGGGCACACCTGTGGCTACCTGGGATGAAATGCCTCCCTGTACACAAGACGTTTAGGGGTACCTGGTGGCCAATATGAAGGACATAAAGCATCAGATTACAGAGTAAGCTGCTTCCATTTCCAGGAACTCAATATATCCAAGTTATCCTGGTTCCACTCAAGTTGCATGAAGATTCTTTTGAGGCCAAGACTTTTCCTTTTGCTTTCCAAGACCAATCTCAGCTCATTGAGCCCCATTCCCATATCACTACTCGCTTGGAATCCCAAAAGACCCAGGGTTTTATAGACTAGATTATTCTAAGGTGATCAGTCCTCCCCTTCCACCTCCTCTTCTCCATGACCTCCTTTTCGATCAATTACAGCCACCAGGAAAAAAAATGATAAGACATTTATTGAGTCATCTACAGCATTTTGACATCCTTAAATTCCCGGACAAGGTTGTGAGCACAGCATTAATGGCAGCAGCAGTAGCAATAAGGTCATGGGGCTCATCTATATCATGGGAGATGAAACCCAGGCTGATCCAGTTCCCACAAGGGAGCCTGGAGTTGCATCTGGGATGCCAGGGACTGCACCACTCCAACCCTGGCAGGTGCAAAGCGACAGAACACAGACATCAGACAAGACACACATGGCTGACTGCAGACAGATTCCCAGACCTGGAGTTCAGGGGAAGGAGAAGGGATGGGCATATGGCCCACTGGAGAACTTTCCCACATCCTTGAAGGATTCCCAGGAGGGGTAGCATCGAAAGGCTCAAAACACCCACGTGGTCCTCTCCGCATCCTAATCCCAAGTGCAAACAGAACCAGTTGAAGATAAAGCTAAGACTCTGTGTCTGCCAGCGCCCTCTGGCTTCCTCCTCATCCCCAGTGCTGGTGGTTTTACAAATGGGGTTAAAGTCAACTCAGGAGGACTCAATGCAGTAAACAGACAGCAAAGAGCCCCTTTCAGGGGGCCGCACTCCAGTAATGAGACCAAATTTGTGTCATTTCCAAAGTTCCTTCGCACGCAGAGGGTCTCTCACTTCAACCTCATCCCTGGCCTGTGCAGCAGATGATCCGATCACAACCGTCCATTTCTCAGATTAGAGGGCAGAGGCTTGGAGATGGTCTCACAGAGCAGGTGGTGAAGCCCAGCAGGTCAGCTCCACTGCTTCTCCTGCAGTCTGGAGTCCTAAGTGGCTTTCAGTAGCCAGAGCCCCTCTGCTACACAAGGCCAAGTGTTTATTAGATGTAGATGCTTTGAGCACCACGTCCTGGCTCATGCGCAGGGAGGTGTACGTACTGGGGGGGCCATTTCCTCGTTCAGATTTATTCCTGGCCCACTTGTTTCCTCATCAGTCCGAAGGTGACAGCTGATGTGTAGATCTCCAAGTTTCTCCGGGCTCTAGTCTTTTGTGTCTCCCCAAAGCCACAAGGGAATGAGTCAAGGTCAAATAGCAGGTCAGTGGCAAAGCAGGGAGAAGCCCAGGTCCCTGCTCCCTGCTTGGGGCTCTTCCAGCTGGTTTCCATGCTGCCTGGGCTCAAGTGATTCATACGACACAATGCTCACTACTTTCACTCTGGAGTGGCCCTGAAAGGGATAAGGGTACTCAAAGAATTAAAGAGAGAGTCTCTTCCAGGAAAAGAGAGGGACTGATCAAGGAGCAGAGGCCTTGACATATGATAACAGATGCAGGTCTATTTCCAGCCTCAGGCCAGGCTGTGGCTCCCCAGCCTTATTTCCCAAGGACCCAGCTCACAGAAGATGGGGTTAGAGAAGGACAGACATGCCACAGATGGTCACAGGGCTGCCTACTGAAACAGAGAATGTATTTTGGCCCCAAGTATGATGGGAGTCCTAAGGCTCACAGTGCTGGGGACCGTGACAAGGCTGCGGAACCCCTAAATTCCACTCTCTGGCTCTTCACTGGCACCACGGCAGCCTCAGCTTCCCTAATTTGTGCCTCTCCTGACACTGCCTGCCTGTCCCACACCTGGACAGTCATGTCAGGGGTGAGATTTCCCTATCCCGAGAAGAATCTGGCCACCCATGGGTGAGGTTTAGAATTGCATAGAACAAAAAACCCCTTCCCAGGAATGAACCCCCGCAGGCATGGAGCCCGACAACTCTGTTCCTCTCCAGGTGAACATTTCCCAAGTGTCCCCACCCCTCTTCACACAGCAGGATTCCTTATCTTTTGGGAGTCCAGGCAATGGCACAATCCTTACTTGGGGCCCCTTCCAAGGAGATGGCTGGTATTTAGAGAGAATTCCAGGATGTGTCGGGCTACGTAAGAATCATCTAGTCTTATTGCCCATGCCACTGATTTGAAAACAGAAGATCTGGTCCCAGGCCTCATGCCACCCTCCCACTGCCCATGACCCTAAACCAGAAACTTCTGGAACATTCAGAACATAGCAGGTACATCTTCTCACAAGACTGGCAAAAATCCATTCAAACAGAAAACAAACAGAGAGGACCTGGAACTTCTAGGAGGACAGAGGCCCAGGGCTCAGCAGTAGTGCAGGACAAGGGACACGGGGCTGACTTGCTTTTGCTGTTTCGCAATGATGTAGCTATAAAGTCAGTTTCTTCTTCCACAGTGACACAGCGCTGCTGGTGAGGGTGGTGACAAATGAATGAGGTCCATATAACTGCTCCTTGGATCTGGTTGCCACCTAGTCACAGCACCCTGCCCAAGCCAGGTGGAGCGCTGGTCTGCACATCACACCCAAGGCACCTGTTCAAATGTCCGTGACCTGAGCCTCCCTTCCATTCTACTGGCTTCCATCATGGTGTCCAAAAGGAAGGGAAAGGAGCATTCTTCCCTCACCTACAGACCCCCCCTCCTTAAAACCTCAGATGATACACACATCATGCATGCATGCCCTTTTACCTGCCTTAGTTTTGAACTGGAAAACTGAACAGTACAGGGCCCAGAGAAACATTAGATGCCACCTCATTTCATGAATGGGTAAACTGAGGCCCAGAATAGGGAGGATTGCGTCCATAGTCACAGCCATGAGAACCCAGCTGGGGCAGAATCCTGGTCTCTGAATCCCAGGCAGTGGCTTCTTCCAAGCAACTCAGGGACTCCAGCAGTGACCCATGTGCAGGGTGATCAGTAGACACTTCTTGGGCAATGCACCTGCCTCCCCAAGCAGGGTGAGGGGATCCGGAGGTCTCGCTCAGGGTAGAAGAGACCACTGCACACCCCACGGCAAGTCCAAGTCATTCAACATGCTGAGAAAGGGCAGAGAGTTCCTTTCCGGGTGTTTGACAAAGACCCGGGGACTTACTTCCCTGTGGAGGACACAAGACTCATCTCCAAATTAGAGCAACTAGAGCCTTCTCCAGTCCCTCTGAAAGTGTCTCCAGAAGCACTGCCAAGGCCCCCAGGGTTCCTTCCTCTTTGTGAAACCAAGACAAAGCAACACCCACCCCCACCCAAACCCCCAAGCATTTCAGAACAGGTCAGGAAGCAAGTCCACAAACACAGAGACAGGAACAAGACCAAGAGCTGAGGTGGAATGAACTGGGCCCCGGGGCCATGGCACTCTAGCACTTTCCTCAACCTTCTCTGAACCTGGTCCTGCCCTATTTGAAATTCGTAGGTGGTGGCTGTGCCATTTGCAGCTGGGAAGCCAGAATGAGCACTGGGGTGGGGGGAGCGGGGAGGCAGGGGGGCATCAGCTCCTCCCACCAATAGCTTCTGCTAATGGGTGTGTAGGCATGGTGTCCCCTCAAGCTCCCTAGCAGCCCACAGTGATTCAATGTCAAGGGCACATAGGGGGATGTAGTACAGAGGTCTCAGATAAAGTTCAGTAGTTGAGTCCAGGTCTGAGGACCTGGTGACTGGGGCTCTTCGTCACCCATGGAGCCAGGGCCTGGGGGAGCCCTGGGCCCAGGACTTGGGCACATTGGAGGTGTGAGGTGCTCCAGGATTTGCTGACATCACAGGAAGTCGGCTGGTTCAACCTAGTCATGGCTTTGACTTAAGGGAAAGTAGGGAGGAGGGCTTTGACTTAAGGGGAAGGAAGGAGGAGGGCTTAGGGACTCTGGGACATCTACTGGGGACATGAAGGGCAGAAGGGGAGCTACCAGATGAACCCTGCCTATCTCATGTCGGGGTCCAACAATGGAGATGGAGGAAGTCTTCTTGAATGGGTCTTCCAAACCATTCTATCTCCTTTTCAGTCATATTCACATTTCTGGCTCTCAGCTCTTCTTGGATCAAATGAAAAGCACCAGAACTTTTCCTGACCCTCAAACCCCACCCCCGACTGAAGTCTCTGATTGAAAGAGTGTGGAGTTTTCCCACAACCCTGATACCCAGAGGTTGGGGACCTGGACACCAAGATGCCAGGTGAGCATGAGGGAGCCTTGGGGCTGGCCTGCATGGAAGGATCCGGCCACCCCAGCAGGACCTCTGGCTAGCCTCAGGGACTAGGCTCAGACAAGAAAAGGTCCCATATCTGAAGTCAAAACTGAGGGGGTTATTGAGGCAGGCATCAGACCAGCCACTCCAGAGCAGGGTCTCTTCAGCCTCAGCTCACGAGGCCTCGTGCCTGGGCTCAGGCCATCACCGAGGCTGGCCAAGACGCAGTGCAATGGAACTGGGCTGGCTGAAGTGAGCGGGGACATGGGTGGAAGGGAAGAGATGGGACAACTTTCCAAATTCAAGGAGTATTTACATGTCCAATCAGGGACCAAGGGACCATGGTGGGCAGGACCAGTACCAAAACAGGAGGGGCAATAACAATCTGCGCCCCGCCACCTTCTCCCCACTTGGGGAGGAGCCAAGCTGCCAGCCCAGGGCCTGCCCAAAGGGAGGGAAGAGGCGCGAACGTGCACAGCCCCTGCCCGCAGCCCCAGCCTGTGTATGAGGAGAGGAAGAGGGGAGGGGGACTCAGGTGGCCAGGTTGTCGGCCGGAAGGCTGGACATGCGGAGCTGGGAGCTGCTCTTGCTCAGGATGGAGAGCTGGGTGCCCCCGTTCACTCCACTGCTGGCCAGGGATGGGTGCCTGTGCTTGAAGTCCATGGTGAAGTAACGGTTCACCTTCCAGCTCCGCCATTTCCGCTTGATCTCTGCCTGCACCTGCAGGGAGCAACTGGGGCTGTTACCTCTGGGCGACATCCTCTCCTGGCACCAGGACCCACCCTGACCGCAGGCCTTCCGAGGCTGTCACCTCCAGCACTCCTCCTGGTACCCGCTGCAGACCTCCCCCTAGTCACTGCCTGGGGAAGGCCTTCAGACAGCTGCCTATTGTCTCTGGGCCACTCCAAAAAGAGCTGGGTGGGTCTTTAACAAGCAGTCCCTCAGGGCACATGGATCAGGGTAAGGATGCCCACTCTTGCTGACCATTCACACTGGGCTGCCTGAGAATCACCCAGGGAGTTTTCAAAGTCTCAGATCCCAGACCATATGGATAATTACATCCCAATCTCTGGCTAAGATCCAGATGGCAGTAGCTTTTACAACAACCTAGGTGATTGCAGTGTGCAGGCATGGCTGCGAACCACTAAGCAGTCCTCTGGCAAATGCACTCCCATGTATCCCTTACTTAGTACGGCAACTGGGCGGGGGCGGGGGGGGGTCATGCCAGTGAGTCTCAGCTTCCACCTGCCCTTCAGTCAAGTTATCTCTGTGCAGTGCACCAACTGAAGCAGCACCCACACGCCCGCTCTCCACGTTCAGCTCCCCTTCCACCACAGGCTCTTGACAAGCTACACCTACTCCCATGTCTCTGCCCCTGCCCTCCCAGTCACTCCTCAGGACCCTCTCTGTTGCTCCTCATCTGTTCTAATCTGACCCTTGCTCTAGGTCATTCCAGTGATGGCTGAGCCCAATCTTTTTGTTTCTCAGATGCAAATAGGGGAAGAGCCTGCTGAGGTCACGGTCTCACAGAGAGCACTGTTGCTCCCTCTCCAAACCCATCCCACGCATCCAGTCCCGGCCCCATCCCAGCACCTGTCTGGGCTCTCCTCAAAAGCATCACCCCACAGGTGAGCTCTGCAAGTGGAGCATTACTGGAAGGTTCCAGGTCTCTCCCTGAGGTCTCTTCCAAATCCTCACATTCCTTGCTCTACCAGGGGATGGATTTGGGTGAAGCAGGGGAGCCTGCTGGGGGCAGCGCTGAATGCTGGACAGCTCCTGGTCTAGCAGTCTTGCCCATCACAGCCTCCTGACCTGTGGTTCCTGGGCCTGTGCCCTGCCCTGCCTCGCTGTCACCTCCTCCTCACTGAGCTTCCTCTCACGAGTGCACGTGCAGGAGCTCTGGACTCAGCAGAGCTGCTGTCTTCCTTTGGGTGGAGCTCTGTGCTCAGGGTGGGCCTCAGCAGCAAAGTAGGAAAGATCCTGGCCCAGGTGGAAGCTGTCAGGAGACCCTGACAAGACAGGACACTTGCAGCTGTGTGACCAGCTCCTCCCCTAGGTGCTGAGAGCCTAACAAAACTCTTGTCAGGGGGAATCTATCCTGGTGTTTGCTCCCCAGCAAACTCCACTTCCACTAGTGAGAAGCCAAATGGCCAGGGTCTTACCTCTCCATTCAGAAAACAGTAGAGAATGGCCACCACAAAGCCCTGGGGAAAGAGGAGAAATAAACCTCAGAATGCCATATGCAGGGGGTGTGGGGGAGGGCAGAGGTGAGAGCATGACAACAGGAAGGAGAAAAATGCCAAAATCTGGATAGGGGACCCTGCCCAAGGCTCTGGGATGAGACAGATGTGTTCTGCTCCACCAAGATGGGCAGTCAGGAAGCCAGGTGGCTGGTGGGCCAGAACCCACCAATACACCCAGGCCTCGAATCCCATGTGCCCTTGGTAAAACCCTTCCCAATGCCTTTTTGCCTTTTTTTTTTTTTTTTTTTTTTTTTTTGGTGGGACCGGGGATTGAACCAAGGGATGAGTTATCAATGAGCTGCATCCCCATCCCTTTTTTTTAATTTTTTCTTTTGAGACAGGACAGGGTCTTGCCAAATTGCTTAGGGCCTCACTAAGTGGCTGAGGCTGGCTTTGAACCTGCAATCTTCCTGCCTCTGCCTCTTGAGCCACTGTGATTACAGGCTGTATCCCACTTCCCTGAATGCCCCAGAATGTTCCCTGGGCTCTCCAACTGGATGGCAGGCTCCTGAGACAGGAGCCCTCCAGGATTCAACAGAAGCATGTTTTCTTTAACTATTATTGTCTCCCCACTCTCCCTCCACCCTCCACCCTTATCACAGCGAAGCCAAATACCATGTAAAGTCAGTCCTTGGCATGGAGCATGGGTTTAGCCACTCTACATGTACACCAAACAAAGTGAGAACATTCTCCTGAATGCTGCCAACAAATTTCTTGCAATCCCTGTGCCCTAGGTTGTCATTTGAAAGTGTCAGCAGAATAATGACTGGAATACATCAGCAAGTCCAAACATGGGAGCCCTGGGTTCTAATTCCTGGTTCAGAACTTGCTCTATAAAAATCTTTCCCAGTCTGAGCAGGTTCAGAAGCTGAGCCAGGTAAAGTGGCCTTGAATTAGAATGCAAGACACCAGTCAGATTTCCAGAATAATGTCCTGACCATCAAGCTCAAATGCTATATTAAGCAGATGGCTCAGGGACAGACACTCTACCCAGCACACCCCAGGGAGCCATCTCTCCCCTATGAACCCACTGTTACTGCCCACACACACCAGGACTCACAGTCCCATCATTCATCCCTCCCCATGTGGACTCATTACTCCACGGCTCCCCGCATCTCCTGGCTTATTTGGGTATGCATCTATTTGCTCATGTCCTTGCCAAGCTCACTCAGCTCCTGAGGCCAGGTCCTATGCTGGGGACTCCTGTGCCAGGGACCCTGACTCGAGTAAGACAGAACTCCAGCCCTGCAGGGGTGCAGGATTAGAAGGCTGAAATCAGTATGTGGACACACAGGGCTCTCAAAGCCATCCACCCTGCAGCCCAGGCTGATGGACAACTGTCATCTCAGATTGCCCAAGGGGCGTGGCACAGGAAGCTCAGTCATAGTGATGCATAGATATTGGTGTGTCTTCCTAGAGCAGACGACCGACAGAGCTTTCACAGAGTGCTTCTCTTCTAGTACTTATTTCAGAGACAGAAACACTGAGACCTGGAGTGAGGTAAAGAGGTTCCAGAACTACCCCTGGTTCTGGGGAATTCTTCCCTCCAATTGTGCCATGCCTTACCTGGAAGGAGCCCAGCCCCAGCTCAAACACGAGTCTTTCCCTCTTGCTGACGTTCTCTGGGGAGAAGGCGAATACAGTGTAGTGGATTCCAAACAGCGGGATGAGCAGCAGGGTGGACCGGGCCAGCCGTCTGTAGAGAGAAAGTAGCACATGTGCTCCAGAGGCTGCCAGGTCTTGGGACCAGAGCCACAGAGGATCCAGTCCCAGCCCCTGGCTCTCCCCCAGGTCCCTGTCAACAGTTCTGCTCAACATTACGTCAGTGCAAGGGACCTGGGAAAGAAGGGAACTGACCAGGGCCCAGGCTTCCAGGACTCCCTGAGCTATTGTGGGGCGGGGCTTCCCCAGTCTGCAAGGCACCCAGTCAGCATCCTGCAGAGCCACTAAAAATGTACATGCTATTTATAGGACCCCCCTGAGCAATGTGTAAAACCCTTGGGGGTAAATAAATTCAGAGCAAAACACAGGACTGGTATTCAGGAGGCTGGAGGCAAAGCAAAGCTTCTCCTGTTCTGGAAAGAAATTCTATGTGCCACAAAAGTTGCTCCTGAAGGCCACAGAGTTTCTGTGTTTCTGAGTCTGAGGTGAGTGGAGGACATTCCCAGAAAGTAACAGGATTGCTGAACACAGGGAGGGAGGGCACTGGCTGGACCACGGCTGGATTCTAGGAATCAAGTCTGGATTCTACAGACTCTGGGCATAAACCATCTCTACCCAGGCAGGAAGAAGCTTCTGCCCAGGAAACTGGGTAAAGGGGACAGAACGATCTTGGCTCCAAGGTGGGACAGACAGGGGAGCCACCAGATGTGTGGCCTACTCTCTCTCTGACTCTCAGCCCCCCACTGGCTCTCAGGTCAAGAGTGGGGTGGTGCCCTGTTCTAAGGGTGCAGAGGCTTAGAGACCCAGGATGGGGACACCAGGCAGCTGTGTTCTCTAGGGAGGAAACTCTCCCAGGAGCTCCCAGGACCCCATCTCCACCTGCTCCAGATTACTGGCTCCCTGTGGGCCTCCCCAAAGAGCCCAGTCCTGTCCTGCAGATGTGTTCTGTCCCTCAGCTGTACCCAACCTGGCTCTCTGGAGGGTCAGACCATGCTCTCCCCACAGAGAATGGTTCACAAAAGTGGACATGAAGTTTAGGGTGCCTATTTGATAAGGGGCGATTGTACTCTGTGCTTCTCCTTTCTCCACATCCCAGACTTTGTAGGAAAGAACATTTTATTGAATGTGGAGGCTCCAAACTTCTAGAAAATTGAAACCAGGAGATCTGTGCAAGGTCTTGGTATCTTGGAGAAGGCAGGAGGGAGAAGGCAGGCAAGGAAGAGGAAGAGACAGAGGGAGGGAGGAGGAGGAGCAGCCTGAGAAGACCTACAGGAAGAGGAAACTCAGCCCAGAGGGGAAGAGGCCGCTAGAGTGTGGCCAACCTCCTCCCTGCTCACAGCCTTTTCTGCAGGCCCTGAGGGTCCTTAGACCAGAGCAGGGCCAACAGGAGCTGAGCAGTCCCTGCTGGGAGTCCAGATGCAGCCCTGAGTAGCCTGGTCTCTCAGCCTTCCTCTTATTTGCCCATCTCCGATGGTGCCCACTGAAGAAGGGAGAGAGGCTCGTTTGTTATATCCTGCAGCAAGCACCTCTGGGCTTGGACCTGATGCCCAGAAATGCCTGCTCCAAGGAGGAATCCATGGACCACACAGGCACAAGAGCCCGGAGTCCTTAAAGTGAGACATCTGGGCACGTGGGTGCTGCTCATCTCTGGGTGCCCAGAGTCTGGAACCAGAAGGCAGCAGAGGGTGACAGATTAAGAAGAGCCAAGGAAAGGGGCTGGAAATGCAATGTGAGGCCCCCCCCGGGGGCTTCACTCTGGTCCTGCCTAACAAGCTCACTTTAAAGCACACGCCTGTTGAAGGAGCTCAAGAAGGGAGGCTGCCCTGAAACAGGACTCGGGTGCCTGCCTCCCTCCCTCCTGTCTTCCTGTCCTGCAAATGGACAGTTTCCAGGAACTTGGCTTTGTCGTCTGAAAAGAGCCCTGGAAACCAAGACGTCAAACCTCTCCAGTGTCAATGGTGGCATGAGATGTGTTGGGTTCATAGTGGGAGAAACAGCAATATTTCATGCAGGGGCTCAGGCTCTTCCCAGGACCAGATCAGAAGTGGTGGCTGCACCAAGGGTATCCCATGGATAGGCCATGGGCAGCTTCCCTCCCCAGCACCCTGCAGCAGCCTCAGCAAAGTCAGGGACTTTAGGTAAGGACCCAGGTGGCTGCAGGGGCCCCTTTGGCGGACAGGGCACTGAGGACAGAGGAGAAGACCTCTAAAGCTCAGGGAGGTGGGGCTTGTGGACCTCTGACCTGCCTGGAGGCCCTACAATGGGAACTTAGGATGTGAGCCTCACACTATGATCTGATCACCCAGAGAGACAGTGACACAGGGTGTAGCCCTCTGTCCTACTGCCCTGAGAAGACTTCAATAGGCAGAAGAATCCTAAAATGCCAAGAAGAGCCTCCAGTGATTGGAGCTGCATCAACGACAAGGGGCTGCCAAGGAGGCAGTGACACCCCTAGTCCACGTGGACATCCAAATTGAGGCTGACCTGGTCAGAGTCAACCTAAGCACGGTGTTCAAATCCTGGGTTCAAATCCTCACCCTGCCAATAAAATGGCCTCGAGTGAGTCACTTCACCTCTCTGTGCTTCAGTTTTCTCATCTGTAAAATGGGGACAATACAAGGACCCACCTCATAGAGTGGCTGCCGAAACAAATGACTTGCTACCAACTTGTACATCGAGTGCTCTGAATATTGGAGTGAGGGTCCCCTCCTGTGTCCAGGAGTTTGGCCTCGATAAACTAAATTTCTCACCCTTATTAGAAATAATTTTGCAATTGCAAAGACTGAAGCCCAGAGAAGTGGGGGATTTGGGGAAAGGTCACACTCAAGGCAGCAACCAAGACTGCAGAGCTTCCTCCTCAGCACCAGCCAAGCCCCCAGGATGCTGCTACCATACTGCAGCTCCATCCCCACACCTTGCCTTCCCGCCCCAGGACCACAAGAGTACAGAGAACTCACAAGACACGGGGACAGACGTCAACATGCAACAGCCGGGGATCAGGGCCAGGCTGGGAAGCACAAGGTGGCTCTCCACTCTCCAGCCCGCTGAGACGCAAGCTCGAGGCAGTGGCGGCATGCGTCCCCCTCCCCTCCAGGACACCCGGCCACAGCCACGGCCACGCACACTTACAGAGTAATGGTGGACAGTTCTGACATCTTGCAAGAGTGCTGCTGAGCCCGCTGTGGCTTGCAGTAGCATTTCTGCACGCAGCTGCTGGGTGTGACAAGATTAGCACTTCTGTCAGCTGGGGACATGGGCAAGGAAGAAACTGAGGCAGGACTTAAGGAGGGTGGGCAGAGGAACAGGGGAGTGGAGGCAGGGCCAGGACATTCATGAGGAGGAGAACAAGGAGGCTGAGGGCCAAGACTCAGTCGGCTCTGGACAAAGAAAGGCATGTCCACATGTGTAGGTGTGTGCTTAGTTGCACACACACCCGTAAGCACTCACTAGGACCACCATTGGGTCGATGATATTAGGGGGAAGGTGTGTGTTCAGAAGGTTGGACGTGGGCTGGGGCCGAGGCAGGGAGCCCAAGGCTCAGCTCCAAGCTCAGCACACTGTCTTGCTGCAGGTCACTCAGTGAGACAGACAGCTGGAAACTCACACCACAGACCTCATCACACGCTGCCTGGTCTGGGCAGAGTGAGCTCTGAGCTCGGTTGTGTGTGTCACTTTAGGTGTCCTCTGGTCATCCCCTCTATCCCTCTCTCCTCCAGCCCAGGCTGGCCTTTCTCTCAGTGTCAAGAGTGCTATCTACAGAAGACCATGGTCAGTCTGAAAGCACCGCTCATCGGTCTAGTCTGGGCTTGCACTGTCCACTCTGAGAGTCACTACCCATATGCGGCTATTTGGATTAAAATCAATTAAAATGAAATCAAATTAAAAATCTACCTCCTCAGTTGTCCTAGCCATATCATAAAAGCTCAAGGGCCACATGTAGCCAGGGGTGACCATGCAAACAGCATAGGTGCCAGGCATTTCCCTTGCTGTGGAGAGTTCTGGATAGTGCTGGGAATTCAGTGGGCAGGTGCTGAAGACTGAGAGAATAGCTTTGGAGCACTGCCCCATGTCCTGCAGAAACAGGCGACTTTAAGAAGTCTAGCTCTATAGCCTGCTGGGTAGGCACAAGCCTCAGGGTATACATACTCCATCTCTTTCATTCCTTCCTGTTCATGCTTGAGTGGGCACAAGCTGTGGACATTTGTTCTCCTCTCAAGATGGGTCAACAGCTGCATCATCTCACACATAGGAGCAGCTCCTTCAAAGCCCTTCTCAGGGGCCACACATGTGGCCTTGAGACTCCTAGTACTGGCTGGTGAACTGATATATTAAACATGAATCAGATGTCCATGAAGACAGATATTTGGGAGAGGTTAGATCCTTGGCATTCATAGATATGCTCTTTTTGACTCCACCTCTTTGAGTATAAGTCCGAAGGCACTTGACATGTGGGGACATGTCATTCTGCTGAGGGAAGAATGTGTATCATGCACTTCTGATGGAATATTACTCAGCCATAAAGAAAAATGAAATTATGGCATTTGCTGGTAAGTAGAAGGAACTGGAGACTATCATGCTAAGTAAGCTAATCCCCAAAAAACCAAAGGCCAAATGTTCTCTCCAATATGCGGATGCTAACACACAATGGGGTGGGGGGTAGAAGTTCATTGGATTAGAAAAAGGGGAATGAAGGGAAGCGGGGAGGATGGTAATAGGAAAGATGGTAGAATGAATCAGACATAACTTTCCTCTATTCATAAATGAATATACAACCAGTATAACTCCACACCTTGTACAACCACAAGAATGGGATACTAATTAGTATAATGAGTTATACTCCATGTATGTGTAACATGTTAAAATATACTCTACTGTCATGTGTATCTAAAAAGAACAAATTTTTTTTAAAAAATGTGTATCATATGCTTCAAAGATGAGACCAACCCCAGCCTGCCCAGCATCTGTGCTGTGCCTCTGTGGGTTTGTGGTTCTCATTTTATAAATGGCCCCTTTCTGTTCTCATTACTTGCAAGGTGGGTACTGTGAGCCCATTTTTGCAGAAGAGAAATGTGTGGTATGGTTTGATGCTTTGCTTTCCCCAGACCAGCAGCAACAGGATCCACCTAAGAACTTCTTAGAAATGGCAGACTCTTGGGGCCACCCTGGCCTGCTTGACTCAGGATCTGCTTTTTAATTAGAGTTCCCAGCTATTCATGCATCTAAGTTTTTCATGTGTCCTCAATGAATGCCCAAAGTCTCCATTACAAATATACAAGAAGACACACAGATGTAAATAAGGACTTTTTTCTCAATAATTAAAAGGGCTCATTAGGTCATACAGGAATGGTAGTTATTCATTCTATCCTTATTATCTCCCTTGCATGGACTGAAAGGCTGACTGGTCTCCCCTAGATGGCCTGGTCTCCCCAAATGGCCCAGAAACCAAGGTCAGAAGCCAGAGACCTACCCACAGCAGCAGAGCCTGCGCCAACGCCATCACCCTGAATTCTAAGCTTTGGCCGTTCTCTGAGATCCCTCTATGTTTATCTCCAAAGTGTCCCTGATCTTCCTGGACTCCAGATATTTCTACAGTAAACATGGCATCCTCTGATTATTTCCAAGATTTTTAAAATGTAATCTAAAGACTATTATGTGACAAGTTAGCTGGGACGCAGCGTGTGATGGGGGAAGAGGAGGACAGATGGATGAGCAGTAAAGGGGGGTTGGAGGCATCTCAGGGGAGATGGATCTAGGAAAAAGGGGAAAGGCCCCTTTCCCCAAATATGTCCTTCCCCAGACCTTCAAGGACTGTGCAAACGAACTCACTGAAAAGAAGAAAAACAAGACTGCGGCAGGCTGGCCAGAGTTAGGAGCGTGAGAAAGAAAGAGAAGGCAGAATCTCAGGACAATTAGTAAAAAGGGAAAAGGAATTTCATTAGAAGGAAGAGATAAGGCTAGGCAGACTGATGAGATCAGTTCCAAGTTGGCTCCAAGGGAGGACCAGAAACTCAGATGAGGGTGCTGGATGGGGCTGCCTGGAGAGCAACAGCTGCCCGAATCAGAAGGCAGGAGGCCCCGGCTGCAGGTACAGGACCCACTCTGCAAGTCAGGGGGCCCTTGGCTTCCGGACCTGACTCTGCCATGGCTTTGCTGTGTCTCTGAAAGGTCAAAGCCATCTCTGGTCTCAGAACTCAAGGATCCAGCAAAAGGTGTCTACAGTAGCCAAACTCCAAGAGCATTTCAACGGTCTTTGTTTAGAGGCTGGTTGGACTGCAGCCCCAGAAAACACCCAGGTTGCTAGACAGAGACGTCTGTGGAGAACCTTTGCAGGCAGAACCCCCATCTTCTTCACCTCTGTGGTCCTAGAGATCAATGTGGTGCTGGGCCCTTGGGAGGCTTCGGAATGTGGTGGTCTGAGCCAGACGTGCCTCAGTGGGTCTCTTCTGATGCTAAGGTGCTATGTACACCAGCACCCTGCCCATGCCCAAGGAAGTGCTCCCCAGCACACCAGCACCCCAGCTCTGCAGATTTTGGAAGCTTTCCTGTTCAACACCATGTCTCCCCTTTTCTCTGTGCTCCCTGCCAGCATGGAGAGGTGTTAGATGAGGAGTCGGGCACTCAAGCTCAAAGCTTTGTTCAGCCACTGATGTGTTGGGTGACTCAAGTTATATCATATTCCTTCTTAAGGAATCAGTTTCTGCAAAATGAGGGTAACAATTCCCTGCTGATCAGCCTCTAGCAGAACAGTGAGGAGGGGACACTCCCAGGCAGGGCAGGGCAGGGGCACTCTGGAGTGGAAGATGGAGCCCCACGTGAACCAGAAGCCTCTGGCTGTGGCTAAGGCCCTGGGCTGAGCCCCCGGCTGCACAGCGGCCTTGACACAGCAGGACCGATCTTGGGAGGGGCACACCGTCTGCCCTGATGGGGCTGAGGAAGCCCCAAGAGGGGTGCACATAAGCTTTCCCACCCTACCCTATACCCAAAATGCAGCTTCCAGTCCCCATCTTCTGACTAGAGGTGACTGGGAATGAAGCCAAGCCATGCCAGAGCGGGGTCCTGAGGCTCTTTCTGTACAGAAGGTGTCTGCCTTGGAAACCTCACCCCTCCCTTTCTGGAACCAGGTAAACTCAGATCTGCAGCCAAAGGCAGGCTGACCCTGCTGGCGGAATGCTCAGCCCTAACTCCGGTCTGAGACCAAGCCAATTGCGGACCCATGCTGAGCCCTGACCCAGGCCCTGACTCCATCCCTGGCCATTGCCAAACTCTGATTCCAGCCATTCATTCTACCAGGAGCATCAGGTAGGAGTGTGGGTGGCTCAGCGCCACTGGCCCCTGCAGGGGCCCCACACCCCAACAGGTCCTTCTGAGGCTGGGTCAGGAGCGCCGTCTTGGTCTACGTAGGAAAACCCTTTATCATCTGAGCAGCTGGAACCAACCTACAGGAAAGGGAGTGAATGCTGGTCTGAGGGCACAGGCAGGGGGTCCTCTCGGGTTTTCTTGGGGACTCCCAGGCTTAAATTTGTTCTGGAAACAGAGGAAAAAAACCAGAGAGCTGTTGTGGGCAGATATGAAGAGGCTTTGCAGCCCAGCATATACTTCTGGTGCCCCAGAGGATGGGGCACAGTCCTGGCCTCTCCCTCTCCCACCAAGCCCGGTCTTCTCCACCTTCCCCCCAAGCTTTTCCCCTCCTCCCCATGCACACACCTCCCTGCTCACAGCCAGCCCCTCTTCCACACCCTCTAGGCTGGGGACAATTTTATGCAAGGCTGGAGCCCATTAGGAGCCACTTCATCCAGGAAACCTCATTCTATCAGTTAGTTGGACACCACCTGCCGGCTGCCAATCAAGGATAAGAATAGCCTGGAGGAACGCCCCCCACCCCCTGCACTGTAGCTACACTTTGGCTCTATCCTGCAGGACTCATCGCACTGGGAACTAATCCCCTCAGCTCTAAGGTGGGGAATTGCTTACCTAGCCCGCCAGATGCGCTGGGTGTTTGTGAGCATGAAATGTGCACAGGCCAACCTGCAAGTGCTTTAAGTGCTCTGCAGTTCTTAGCAGCATTGTCACTGGGTTATTGCTCATGTTCATGGAAAGGGTGTCCTCGACCCTGGGAACACTCCAACACGTGGCTGATGTCAATGGGATCAAACAGATTCCTTGTCTACCATCAGCCCACCCACCTGGTTCACAGCCCTGAGGTTTTCATCTTCCGGGCTTGAAACTAGCAGAGGTTTGGCTTTCTCTAAAAAAAGGATTTATTGAGTAGGCAAGGAAATGCTTTTAGAGAAGGAAACCAACTAGCTGTCTCTTCAAATGTCTTGGATCAACACTTAAATGGATAAGCCGTGTGCTAATGACAAGTGGTTCTCACCTATGCATTTGTGCTAGGACAGGGCTCCACAGCGCCTACAGTGTGGACAATTTGAAACCCAGGCCCACGATTCTTTCCCATCTGACCCTGGGGGCTCTTGTTGCCTGGGGCAGGATGTCTGAGTCAGCCAGGGTTTGGAGCATCCTTGCTTAGGCTGAGCAGCTGGAACCAAGCAGCCTCTGTGGGTATCCCTGCACGGGCAGAGTGAGGGGAAGCTGGAAGGACCCCCACCCCTGGCCTGCAAAGAAGAGGTCCCAGGGGCCTTAGAAGAAGAAACAGATCCTACCAGAAAGGGGAAGAGATGAAGCTGCTCTTGCTCAAATGGGAATGAAGGTAACTTAACTACCGGCCCAGCTACTTCGGGTTTCAAATACCAGACGTAAATGTTAGTAGGTGAACCAATTCCCAACCAAGCAGGAGAAACTGAGGCCACACAAGGGCATGGTTTCCAACACCACAGGGAGGTGAGGGGAGGAGCAGGGCCCTATTTTGAGACTCCTAAGATAAAAGTCGGAAGGATGTCTCTAGGGCAGGTTGGGTAGTGGCAGAGGGCTGGCCCTAGCAGACTTTATGGCTTTTATCAATGAATAATTTTCCACTATATAATAGACTCATGTAAGTAAGAGCTGGCAAAAGCTTATAAAAAAAACTGACAGTAAATGGACAGGAAAATAAAAGTTTCTTTTCCAATGTGATGTGATCATCATACCGGCAAAGAAAATATGGTAAATCACCCAGGCCCTGGGCTAGTCCCCAGCCCCCATGGAAAGGGCTTCTCCAAGGTGAAATACCAGGGTGGATAGACACACAAGCCAAGAACAAGCCTCCCACGAAGCCCCCAAGGAACCTTCAAGAAGGATCTGGGACTTGGCCTCTGAGCAGTCCCTCCCTCTGCCTCTCTCCAGGAGAATGCGGGTGCTATGGAGCCCCCTGCTGAGCCCTCCCTGCTCCTCTCTTTCCCCTGTGCGGGGTCAAGGTTGTGATCTGAGGCTGGGGTCTCTGGTGAAGGTAGGACCAATGATGGCCGCAGCTCTTTCTAACCTGCTCTTTTTGAAAGGAACTGAGGAAGCAACACTCTTGGCCTCAACTGTGTCCCCCAGTCAACCGCAGGGGATCACCAACCTTTCTCTTCAGCATGGAAATGCCCCACCCACCCACCCACCTCAGAGCCCCAGCTGGTCCCGCTCCATTCACAAGGCCAGAAGGGTGAGGGGGCAGATGCCGAGTCTGAGTTCAGATAGAGCAAGGCTGGGAGAGCCAGCGGGAAGATGCTCTCAGGGACATGACACAAAAATAGCTGTAGGAAGCCAAACGGCCATGAAAGTAGAGCAAGTCTTGGACTCAATGGAAAGAGGTAGTTCGTGAACCCCAAACACAGAAAGCAATCAGACGTTCCTCTTCTCAGGAAGGAGGGAACTGAGGAAGAAGGATCAGGGAGATGCAGAGGCAGAGCTGCCCTGAGAGAAAGAACCCCCCTTCCCACACCCAGGCCAGTGAGAATGACCACCTGTGTCACCAGGCACGCTGAGCAAGTTCTACATGTTGTCCTGGGGGTTGGGCCTATCCAATGCGCTCACAGGTTTCCCACAGAACCAGCATCCCCACGGGAAACCCAGCTTCTGAACAACCAAGTCCTGAACTACCTTAGGGAATCTGGTGTTCTCCACTTTGATTTTTCTAGTGTCACATAGGTTCTGTCACTCTCTTTTTTTTTTTCCTTATGTGTAATGGCATGCAAGTTAGGAGCTCCTGGGTTGGCTGAAGCCCAGGAGGGAGGGCAACTATGTTTTAAAGGCTATATTTCATTCAGGAAGAAATTTTGCCAATGCCCATTATCATATAACCCTATCAGCAAAGCCCAAGCCTTCTCCTGCTGGTGACCTGAGCGCCGGGCCTGTGTGGCTGTTGCAAATGGCCGTGGCATCCACATGGTGGTACTTACAAGTAGATGCTGGACTCGTTGCCTCCCATGTCTGGAGATTGCAGCTTCTGCACCAGGATGACGATGATGCCGATGAAAAGCACAAAGTTAACCTGAGGGCCAAAGAAAAGGCAGACAGACATGACTCTGGGCAAAGACTTTGTGCACTCCTGCCCCTGTAAAGGCTCCTGTTCCCCACGGGTACCTTCCCCAGCTAGTCGAGATCCCCTCTAGACTTCTAATCCAAGATGGCGGTAGGAGAGCGCTAATGTAGCTCCTACCCACCACAGTATCACTGTATTGGAAGAAGAGATGTGAGAAACAGAATTCCATAGGAGTCCCGGAAAATAGGGAAGAGTATCATGAGTAAGTGGAGAAAATGAGTCATCTCTAGAAGAGAAAAAGAAAGTAGGACCAGGCTGGTGGGAAAGCTACAACTTAAGAGAGAAGAGTCAACTGCAGAGGTGAGCGCTCTTCCCTGGTAAAACTCCAAGATGAGCGTCATGGAATATGGGGAATCTGTGTGGCCACAAGCCTTGCTAATTACAGGACTGCCTGGGAACAGCAATAGCAGTATTTGCCATCAGATAAAGATCTTTGACAGATGCTTTCTAAACAAAGTGGGAAGCTGTGTGTATGTGAGAAAGGAGGAGGAAGGAGAGCAAATAAATAAATGAGAACTGTTCAGGGATGTCTTGGAGATAGCCAAAGCAGCCTTGGAAGAAAAAACAGAGAGCCTCAAGTTAGTCTATTTAAAAAAAAATCATAATTACTGAAAACTAATTAGGCCTTCAAATCAAAAAAAAAAAAACTAAGAAAAGATTACCTCAAATGGAACTTATAGAAGAAGGAATTTTATATAGGCAAAAGACATAAGAAAGAAAATAGAAAAAAAAATAGGAGATTTGATCGACAAAAATGACAATTTATTTTTGTTTTTGTCTTCTTTGTTTTTATAGATCAACTGGAATGACGAAGCACACACCACACTCTGTCCACCTTGTTCTCTGCTCCATGCCTGCTGTCTAATCAGTGCCTGGAATTAGCTCAGCAAACACCTCTAACTGCATGTGTTCATCAATCCAAAAGGAGAAACTACAGTTAGACCAATTTAGGCGTGAGAAACAGGACAAGACAAGATGGGCAGAATATTTTAAATCGTGAGAGAATACCCAACAAAATGGGAAAATAAAAATTAACAAACACAACTCAAGAAGAGGTAGAGAAATCTGAGTAATCATCTCAGAAGAAATTTAAAAAGTAGTCAAGGTGTCTGCATTCAAAGACATTAGGCCCAGATGATTTTTATGAACTTCTAAGGAGCATGTAATTGACATGCTATTTTATTGTTTTAAAGCAAATAAAACCTCATAGATTACCTACGAAGTTAACAAAATCCTGCTACAAAAGCCAGGCGAATACAGAAAACACTTTCACAGGCACATAGACATAGAAGACCACAGAGAGCAAGGCAAAAAGTTTAAACAAATATTAATAAAGAGAATTTAGCAGTGTATTCAACGAACAAACTGATCATGACCACAAAGGTTTCAAACTAGAAATGCAAAAATAAACCTAATATTTGTTATGACAACAGATTGCAATAAGCTTCCATTAAATCCCTAAAGACTGGTGAATGAGTTGGTCACAGAAACATCAGCAAAGATAGGGGAAATATCAGAAATGATACCTTGCTCATAGAGGGCAATTTTTGCTATCTATGAAAATGTACAATGCACATATCTTTGTCCCAGGAATTCTCTCCTAGAGATTTACTCTGAAGAAATATTCACATATGTTCAAAGAAAGGCACAAATATATATTCCTTGTTCATAATGAAGTTAGATTGTGATCACTTCAATATCTCCAAAATGCATTTGATAAAATTCAATATCCATGCTTGAGATATTAAAACAAGATATTCATACTAAAACAAGCCAGGAAGAGAAACTTCTCCAGTTCCATGCAGGGTAATTGCCAAAAGCTAGAGAAAACTTCACCCTGTACAGAAACAAGGAATAAAAGGGACACATACTGAAAAAGAAGGACAAAGACTATTTTCATTTGCAGATCATGTAATTTCTACCTAGAAAATTCACGTGAACCAACAGAAAAGGGACAAGAACTAATAAAAGAGTTCATAAATGTAACTAAAAAAAAAAAATGCACAAAAGACAAGAGCTTCCCTACACTCCACCAGTAACCCATCAGAAAGTAGAAAGAAAGAATGATTCCTAGATCCAATAAAAGGCCAAAATGGGAAACACCTTAGAGGTGAACATTACAACAAGAAAGAAATCTAAAAAAGTTTACCAGAATAACTCTGTAACAAGGACTGAATAGGTGGAGAATCATGTCACACTCTTGGAGAGAAAGACTCCACCATTTAAGCAAACCAGTTCTCCAAATTAGCCTATAAATTCAGTATGATTCCTACACGATCTCAAACATACTTTTTTTTTTATTTTACAATTTTGCAACTTGACAAGGATATTCAAAAGTCCACCTGAAGAGTAAATGGGCAAGGAATTTTTGAAGAAAAACAAAATAAGAGGAGAAATCTGCACATCAAATGCCAAAGCATGCTACAAGGTCTCAATAACTAGGAAAATGGGGAATCTGCCTAGGGAATAGACAAATAGATTAGCAGCATAAAAGTGAAAGTCTGGATCCAAAAATAACATTTCAATAAAAAGGATGCAATAAAAAGAATTGAGAATGTGGAATGTACATCCATTAGAAAGATAAAATTAAATATCATTTCAGGCCAGACAAAAAATTAAATTTCAGCTGGATTAAAGGTGTATACATAACAGTACAATTCACAAAAGTATTACGAAACAAGGAAGAGGCGTATTTTTATATCTTAGGTTAGGAAAGAACTCTATAAACAAGAAGTAGGGCTCAGAATTTATAAAGCCGGGGGATTCCACTGCAGAACAGCTATGCTGTCTTAGAAACACAATACATATAACAAATGAAGGGTTATTATCCTTCACTGTAATAAATATAATCTGATAGAAAACTGGGCAAAAGAGATAGATGGGAATATTCAGAATTGAAAAAAAAATATGATTAAATGTTCAGAAAAACTGGTCAATTAGCTAACAATATGGAGAAATGTTTGTGAAATTACTATTATCCTCCATAAGAATATGTAAAAATTTAGACGATTGATATTGGGGAAATGCACCACCCTTCCAGAGGAAGTGTGAATTGCTAAAGGAATTTTGCAAAACAATTTGGGACCTAAAAATTTTAGATGTATACCCTTTTTGACCTATTCCTCCCATGTTTAGAGATGTATTCTAAAGAAATATTTGCAAATGTTTAAAATTATGCACAAAACTATTCTAGTAGCATCTTTCATAATGAAGAAAACGTAGTAAGATACACATCCACCCCTAGGGGAACAGCTAAATAATTTGTGTGTCTGTGCTATGGAATATAATACAGTCACAACAAAGAAGAAGGCCAGTTTGTTCAGTGACTCTTTCATGTCCCCTTCTTGTTCATGTGCCATTCCGCCCAGGCCCTGTCTCTTCTCTTCCTCTTTGTCCCAAGGACACTCACCATTATCGAGCCAACCACAGGGCCTTTGATCACCCACCACAGAGCTGTGCTGTCATTCATATCCCAGCAGCTGAAAGATGGGCAGACAGAGAGAAGAGAAATCACATCCAGGGGTGAGCCCAGATGCCTACAGGACACTGCCCTGGCTAGCTGAGGGTCTGGTCCTTTCTTCCCCTGGAGCTCCTGAAGAGGGGTCAGCCAGAAGGAGAAGTTGCAGAAGCCAGGCCCTGGTTATAGGAATGCCCTTCTTTTGAGCCTTGCTCTTTCCCTCTGCATCCCTGTCAAGACAGGGTTTGGGGTCAAAGAGTCATGGTCACCAGTGGGCTCCTGGGAAAGGTCCCTGTGTCCCTTTTAGACCCAGAGCTCTTGAGGCATAAGCTCACCATCACCATCTTCCTACCCTCCCCAAAGGGAGGGCCCAGAACTGGGCCCAGAGCAAACAGGGTTCAGAAACCTTTCCTATTCTCTTCCTGGGCTGCTGGCTCCCAGACCTGCGTGGGGTCTGGGCTCAGGTGGCCTCTGGCGCTGGGCTTCAGTCTGGGCCCAGTGTTGGATGGTTTGCTGAGAAAGTCGACAGCCACTGAGAACCCACCTGTAGGAATCTATTCTGTTCTGGCCCTGACTCTTGGGCGTGTACTCACCCTGTGTTATCGAAGTAGATCCTCAGTGTAGCCCACACGGTCACACACACAGTTGGGGTCCCTAGGAGAACAAGAAAAAGAGGCCCCTAATAGAGGAAAACCAGCATGTCCACTGTTCCCTCAGACTTGGGGCTCCCAGAGGCCACCACACCCCTCACACTTGGAGTTCCTGGGGACTCTTACTGTCCCTCACACCCAGGCTTCCTGGGAGGGCAACATCTCCCCCAGACCTCAGACCACCTTGTCTCTCAGGAGGACGCCTGGGCAGTACTTCTCCCTCAGACAGGGAATTTCCCACAGGCAGGAAGAGAAAGGCGGGTCCAAGCATGAGCAGTCAGCGCCTGCCTGGGGCAGTACCAAGGTCACACCCGACTAGGAGGCCCGAGTGCGTGCAGGCCCAGCCAGGGACCTACCCCAGCCAATGATGGTGTACCAGTAGAAGTATCTCCTCTCAGGGAAGAAGGTCTCCACCAGCAGCGTGAAGAGGTACAAGCCCTCGATGAACAGCCAGAAGTAGTTGGACACAACACAGTAGTGGAAGAAAACCATGACAGCCTTGCATGCCACCTACAGGGACAGCCACCAGGCGAGGAAGGTCGTACTCCCTCTCCTGACCCCAGGCGAACCCCTAAAGCCCAGGGGAGTCCTGAGGACCTTCAGCTCTAGTTATGCTGCCTGGGGCCCAAACATGCCCAGGATCCGGGACAGTCAACACTCCTGAACTGTGGCGCTGAGATCTGCAGCATCCTATGGGTCTCAGTCCAAAAGGCCTGCGCTGGCAGGAGAGGGACAGGTAGACAGGTGGGGAGCCCACCAGGCCCACCTGCCCCCTCTTCAGCTCCCACAGGGAAGATGAGCAGGGAGAAGCAGCCAGAGGTCCCCCACAGGGAGCTCCTGGTAAAACAGGGACCTGGATCCCTCCCAGATGGAGGGAATGCTCACCCTGGCCCCAGAGATCCCTTCTCACTGAAAACCTTCAAGTGAGCCCTCTCAGTCAAAGGCTGGACTCCAGACCATTCTTCCCACCTGGTGCCTCCTCCAAATACCAGGGGGCATGAGGAGACACATGGAAAGACCCCTAGCAAACCAGCACGTGGGCTCTGGCTCAGCTGGTTAAGGGACCAGGGCCCACACCAGCCCTCTGGGAGCCTCAGTTGCCTCCAGAGTCGGCTGACCCTCCTCAAGTACTCTGCGGGACTGAAGACAATTTGGCCAGAAGTGACACTAGTGACATGTTGATTCCTGGGCTTCCATGTGAATGGGGGACAACGCCTTCACCCAGGAACACACTCGAGGGCCTCAGGCTGAGAAACAAGTCCCAGGCGGTGCGGGGAGGGGGACTTCCTGGCAGCAGTGGCCTCGGGCCCTCTGAGCTCACTCACAGTGGAGATGAAGCAGTGGTTGCTGTCCTGCTCGGCATAGAGGATCCAGTCTTTGATGAAGACAGAAATTGCCCTCAGCATGAAGGACACAAACAGGTTCATGTGGATGAAGTTTCGGGTGCAGTGCAGCTTCCTGCAGGAGCGGGCCAGGGGAGGAGGACTTGACCCCAAGCAAGCAATCCCAAAGCACTCACACCCTCCAGCCTGGGCTCTGCCCTGAACCTGCTCTTGCCATTGTCTCAGAGGGGGCTGCCACCGAGTCTACCAGCTTCTACCCACCTCTCTGATCCTGGCTTCCAGGCCCCTGTAACCTGTGCCCCTTCTCCCTCCTATGGCCTCTCTATCTAGACTAGGAAGATGAAAGTGAGCAATGCAGGTCTCTTGCCCAGCTTCTGCCTGGCTGTGTGGCCCTGATCAAGTAGGCTGCCCTCTCTGGGGTCAGGTTTCTGTCTGCTACCCCAGGGGTGAGGGCTGACATCCACAAAGAGGGGACTACTCTCAGCAGAGGTGGGTTGTGTGGGCTCCAGTGTCACTGGAGTCTCACCGGAAGCGACACAGGATGACCATGGCAGTGGTGAGCGTGACGAGGGAGGTGCTGTAGCCAACAGTGTAGAGGGCCTTCACCGACAGGTAGTAATAATCCTAGAGCAGGACACAGGATATGCAGAGATCCACATGGGGCAGGCCCTCCCACCCCCACCCCCAGACCTGCACCCTCTGGGTCTAGCTTCTCCCTGTCTCCTCCTAGCGATCTTACCTCTCCACTCCCCTACTCCCAGCTAAGCTGCTTGCTCCACTCTGCAGGGTTACCTTCTGCAGATGTGGCTGGGGGTGTGGTGCAGAGATGGAGCCCTTACCCAGCATGCACCAGGCCCTGGGTTCCATCCCCAGCATCTGCTCAAAGGAAGAGCACTAACCAGTCAGTATAGACAGCATCCTTTAGTTAGATGTGGGAGGTAGGAGGGGGAGCCCCCATGTGGAGCCCAGAATTAACTCCTCAGGTTCTGGATCCTAGGCAAGACAGTGTCCCCAGAAGGGACAGGAGGTGGGGGCTGGAGGATAAGGCAGCATGACAGCTGCTTCTCCACCACAGCAGCTGGCTTGGATACACAGTAGGTGCTCATGAATGTCATCTAGAGACCTGTCTCCTCCGCTGTCCCACCACTTCTGGGGAACAGGGCACAGACACTCACCTGGTCCCCAGTCTCAGTGTCATAGTCGTCAAAGCCACAAGCGTCGAAGTAATGAGGGAAGGGCTCCGACCAGCCATACTCCGTGCAGTTCCGGCTCACCACACCCATGTCTGCAGAGAAGAGAACACTCAGTGAGGCACAGAATGACTTCAGAGAGCCCCGAGATGCAGATGCAAACATTACTGCTTAAGTAGGAACCAGAAACCCGTGTGTCCGCTGGAAGACATGGGACAGAGGTCCAAGGAGTCAGTGACAGCTGATGGCCTGCAGCTCAGTCTTTACTAAGAACCATGGGGCTGGGGCAAGCCATCTCTTAGCCAGGGGTAAGGGGACTGAGCCTGTGAGTCCAGCAGCCCTGCAGTTCTCCTTCTGGAATATTCCCAAATACCTGCCAGGAAATGCTCAAGGCTCTGGATCAATGCTTCTCAAAGGTCCATGTGTAGGAGAACCATCCTGAGACTGATCACAAATGCAGATTCCAGTCCCTGCAGCCCCAGGGATTCTCAGCAGGACATCTGAGTGTGTCCAGGAATTGCCTCAGGTGACCAAAGGTGTGTCTTGAGCCCACTCTACAGGTGAACTTTACCCTAGCAGCTGACATTCTGCACCAATGAGACACCTTGCTTAATTAACAAGGACACTGAACTAGGTTAGGACCTTTTTTAAGACATATACTCCAATTTGGTTTTTGGTTAAGTTTTGCCTTTCAGGGTTTGCTGGTCTATTTCCTGTTACTAATGTACTTTAGCTTTTCTTCTGATGGCCTTAAAAGGCCATCTTGTGCGATACCCAGGGGAGGCCAGGGTAAGACACAGCCATTGAGCCATTTGCCAGCTACAAAAAAGCATTCAGCCTGGTTTTCACTATTCGCTGGGCTGTTTTTTTGCCTCCCATGGTTGCTTGGTTCATTTCTCTCTCCCATCACCAGATGGTCTGTAAGGAACAGCCACAAATGATTAGGGGAGGTAAGCAGTCCCCTTTCCTCCAGCGAACACCTCGATGTGGCCCCGGAGAGACGTCAGTCCTCAGAATGGCTTCTTGGGAGTTACCTGGCCTCTTAGGACACATGGGGATGGTTCTTCCCCTCATAGGACTCAGTGACAAGGGGCACAGGGCACATATTGCTGGATAGAATTTTCCCCTCTGTGACCCAGGCCACCAAGGCGGGTGGGCAGTGGTTCAGGGAGACACATGGCAGGATGCAGAGGCCAAGAGGAGAGACTCTTTCTCTTCCAGCCCACATCCTTGCTGGTTGACCTGGAAGATAGAAGGCCAGTTCTCTTCACCTAGGAGAGTCAGAAACATCTTTCCTGGGACTTGGAGACATGGGCCTGCAGGGAAGGAGAGTTCTGCCCAGCAGCGGGGAGGGAGAGTCTGGTCTCTGTCACCTCCATCATTTCTCCAGTGCTGAGTTCTGTGGACAAGCTGGGGCAAAGCCAAAGAGCTCACTTCAATCCCACAGTGTGGTGCCAAGCTGCTCCTCCTTCCAGAAAATCTGCTCAGGCTGCCCCTGGCAATCTCTGGCAATCTCCTTCCAAGTCCCTCTAAATACTTCTTCAGAAAGTCTGACTGTCCCAGGGGAGGCAGCGTCTTGCCCAAGCCCCTCCCCCATCAGGGCTTCACCTCCTCCCTATTCTGCCCTTCTCAAGGTGGTGAGAAGAGGAAAGGGAAGTTGTTTTGAAAAACAATTTTTTTTTATAAAACTGTCCTGGAGAGAAAAGCCATTTCCTCTCTTTTCTTTTCTTTCTTTTTTTCTTTTTCTTTTTATAGCCTAATGTAGGCACAGAAAAGTATAAACCTTTTTGTTCCAGAACTGTTCCTTGAATATTGTTCTGATAGAAATCTCCGGAAGAGCGTTCTCCAGATTGTCAGAATCCTGCAGCGACTGCGCCCACATCACCAGGCTGCTTTGCCCCAGCAGTTTCATAGAAGCCCGGAATTTTAGGGCAGAGGTTCCTGAATGAGTGTCTGCCCATATTAGACCATAGAAGACCTGGGCATCCGGCTAGCAATGCGCATGTTCATCCTGAGGCCGAGGCCGAGGAAATCAGAAGACTCTGAGGGTGAAGCCCTTGAATCTGTGTTTTAATAAGCCCAGGAGAGGACTGTGATGTGCAAGTTTAAATTTGGTTTGAAAACCTCTAGCCTATGTATCGGAGTTCAGAACTATTAGGAACCATCTAAAACAGGGGTTCTTTGCTTAGAATCCACATAGGGGCTTCAAGAGATCTCCAGCTCCTATGAAATTGTAGGTACCATGTTCTGCCTTTGCACCTAACTGCCATTTGCCACGGAGACAAGCTGTACCTGTACCTCGAAAGTTACCAACCAGTCTCAGATCTCAAAGCCACAGAGGGCAGAGCTCAGCCTGCAATGGGGCTCTCAAAGCTCCCATGTCAGCAGACGCCCTCCGGTCAGCCAGTCCATGGTGGGTCCCAGCCTGTCCCTTACCTGAGAGACCCAAGGAGTTACTGCCAGCAAAATCAAACTCTCCTGTAAAACACAGATGTGGGCATGTGTCAAAATGCCTGGTTTATCAACTTGATGCGTTACCACTGCTTACTTTCCCTGATGTGCCTGGGTCTGGAGGGCCTGGGGACAGGGTCACCAGACAGCCTCACACACAGTGGCTGCACACCCTTCTGACTCACAGCACCTTCTGACACCCATCTCCTTGGGTTGCATTTCTTGGATGCTAAGGATGATGCATGACTCAACCACCCACCCCACCCCCCAGGAAACAGGAAATAGGCACTGTCAGGAGGGCGGGAGGGCCTTCTGCCGAGTAGAGAGGAAGGGGAAGGAATGGAAAAGAGCAAAGAACAGCAACAGGGGTCTAGGACTTGGGGTTCCTTTGGTGCTCATCTTGGTCTCCAGACCCACTCTTCATCAAAGGGAACCCAAAACTTCAAAGACTTCATCCCCAGAATTTTATCCTTCTCTCTTTACTCTTTATTCCCCTTCCCATACTCTCCTATGCCCAAATCCCATGCTAGCCTAGCAATGGACCCACATTGCATCGCCATTTCTCAAAAATCCAGTTTCCAAGCTGACATGCCACCTCCTCCAGAAAGCCTCCCATGACCTCACTGCTCTGCCCATATGCTGCATCATCAGCTCTCTTCTATTCTCTGGCTTCCCGTACATTCCACCTTCTCAGCAACTGGGGATGTGAGCATCTGTACGGACTCACTCACAGGTCAGGCCTGCGTGTGCATGCGCACATGCCTATGCACACACATGGGCTTGCTTTCTGACTCCTCCATTGGTGAGTCTTGTCTTTCCAAACAAGCTCATGATGGCCTGGAAGCCAAAGGCTGTGTCCTCCATTGCTCTCACCTTCAGGGTGGCTGAACAGAGGTGTGGGGAAGGGAGAAGGAGAGAAGAACCTGGTCCCTGAAGAGCCTGCCATTCCACCCAACCAAATGCTGATCCCGGCAGTCAGAGCCTGGGATCTCCTGAGGCTAGGCTCCTGCTACATACAGAGATGGACAGATGGACAGCGGTCTGTCCTCACCAAGGTTCCTCTTACCGATGGTTTCCGTCTCCCAGACTGCAACAGAAAGAGAGAGAGAGAGAGAGAGAGAAAGAGAGAAAATGCAGAGGTAAGCAGGGGTGTGCAGTGGGGGGTCTGCTCTCACTGACCACTTCCTCCTCCTCCCCACCCCCAAACTTCAGAGAGAGTTCTGCAGGGGGCGCAGAAAGCAGGACTACACGCTGGGCACCATCAGGCATGAGAGACTTCGACCTCCACCTCTAGAACAGAAATGCACAGAGGCATCTGGGAGGAGGAGAGAGGGTGGAACTCCCACACCTCCAACATCTCCAAGGTCCTGCATGGCTGCACTACCCCTGGAGTTTCCTGAGAGCTGAGAAAGCAAAGGAGACATCCAACCCACACGTCTAAGTGGAAAGGCAAGCCCACCAACAAAGCCTGTGAACAGAGGTGCTGAAGTCCCCGCCTTAATGAACCATTAGGAATGGGGTGTCACCTCACCGCCCGCCTGCTGCTGAGGGAGGGAAGCTGGAGGGATGTGCATCTCCAGGAAATCTCACTTGACTGCAGAATCTTTTTGCCTTTTGTGGCAAGAAGCATTCTTGGCATGGAATCTGACCCAGAGAAGATGTTCAGTAAACTTTAAATAAATGACTGAATGAGAGCCATACATTCATGGGGGAAGTGACTAAGTTGGTTTCTAGAGGAATGAATGAGGAACGGGGCTGAATCACAGGCTGTCACTGTGCCTCACAGCCCTCCATTCACTGTGCTCCTCGCTCCAGCACTTCCCTGCCAGTCTCCTCGGCCAGAATTCACTCTCTAGCCTGTTCTGGGTCACTCACTCAAAGTCCCCAAGCCCTTGGGGTGGGGAGTTCAGTTGCCACCCTCCTTCTGGGCTGGCAGAGGTCTGGAGGTGTGAGGGATGTGGACAAAACAAGGTGGGGAGTGTGGGAGACAGGCTCCACCTTCTTGGAATGGGAGCCAGAGATGGGACCTGGGACTCCAACATGTGTCACTGCCTCTCTCGGCCACCTCCTGCAAATCCCTTGCTTTATGATATTGCTGGAACGTGAGGTTTGAAAGTGAATTTGCCTTTTTGAAAGTGAATTTGCCTTTTACCTCTCAGAAGAGGAACCCCCCAGTGGAGATGCAGCCATTTAGAGTTTACTTTATATATATATATATATATATATATATATATATATATATAAAGTAAAAAATATATATATATATATTTTTTTTTTCTGATACCAGAGATTGAACGCTCAACTACTGAGCTTCATCCCCAGCTAAGTTGCTTAGAGCCTTGCTAAGTTGCTGAAGCTGGCTTTGAACTGGCGATCCTCCTGCCTTAGCCTCCGGAGCCATTTGGACTTTGTCTTGCCCCACCACCCCGCCCCATATCTTTGTGTCCTGCATCACAGAGCTCAGCCACCATGTCTATCCCACAGGCTCCTAAATCAATCTGGGGCCCCCAGAACTCTCCACAGAATTTCAATGGCCCCCAGAGATCTTGAACTCAGACATGCCCAAAATTGAGTCCTTGTGACCCCCACTCAGCCAACGCTCCCTGGCAGGAAGGGTGCCATCATACACTCACCCCAGAACCAGCGTCCATACGTTACAGACTACACTGTTTCCACTGTGGATAGTGTCCTCTCCTAGGCAATCCAGGAGCTCCTGGAGGCCAGGACCCCCAGCTTCTCTTCTCCTGAGCCCTCATAGCTACCTAAGGGCAGTGAGGGCCAAGGAAACGCTTTGCTTAGCAGACATGCCTGCCTGCCTGCCTGCTGTGAGGCCTGGGCACCATGCCCACATCAAGTGGTCCATGAGTGTGGATGTGGGTGAGCGTCATGAGCCCAACTGCACCCTTCACACTCCCACTCTGCCTGAGGGTGTCTAACTGCTGGTCCCTGTCCATGCATTCCTCTGGGCCTCTGAGGATCTCTGTGGCTGTGTGAGTGACAGCAATGACAACATCAGCTACCACTGACCACTGAACATTCAAGATGTGCCAAGTCCTGCACTACACGATGACCCACATGCATGATCATCCTCACTTTATCCTCAGAGACACCCCATGAGGGAGCCACCATGCCACATTCTCACCTGGCAGACCAGGGCCTTAGCTGGGAGGAGTGAACTGCTTTGCTCAAGGTCCTTAGGAGGGTGAGAGACAGAGCTGGTATCAACCCCACACCAGGGCACACCCAGGTGTGCACTGAGGACTGCGTGCCATGTTGAAGGAAGGCTTGTGCACCCCTACAAGTGCTCTGGAGCAAAGACCATCTGTTCACAGGGAGCCAGTCCTTAGTGCTTGTCTTTGGGAGCCTGGGCTGAGCCCAGGGAGCAGGTTAGATCAGTGTGGCCTAAAGACTGGGCTCTACCCACCTTGGTCCGGGTTGAAGATCCGGAAGACATCGGGGCAGCTAACGAGGACCATCTCCCCTACATGGGCCGGCTTCCAGCAGGTTATATTGTCCCACATGCCAGGGCAGCCTGGGGGAAGAGAGCCATGGTGAGCATGGGTCTACACACACACACACACACACACGCACGCACACATGCACACACGCCCATAATCTCACACAAATACCACGTTAGTGCACACACACCACACCACACAGAACCAGTCACAAACACGTGCATGCACACATCCCACAACACACGCTACACTGTGGATGCCCACACGTACAGCATACACGCCACACTTGGATGCTCACACCTGTATTCTCCCACCACCCTCCACACAGAGGCAGGGTGGACCGCTCACAAGCCAGGCTCATGCCGAGCAGGTGGGAGCAGCTGAAGAGGAAAGTGGACTTCCTGTCTGAGGGAAGGCCAGGCCTTCACCTGAAAAGCCTCTCAAAGAGGGGGTGAGGCATGAGCCTCTCTGCAGGTGGTCCTGAGGCAGAAAGGGGGCCTCACCTGATGTTACCTGGCCCACAGCCCCTGAGTCCTGTAGGGTTGTGGGGAAGAGAAAATCACCAGGCTAGGGCAGGGCCCTTCAGAAAGGGGCACCCAGCAGCCCCTCCCACACGACCTGCTCCAGACGTCCTGCCTTGGCAGCAGCCTCTTCTGCAGGGCCAGCTCCGTGTGGTCTGGCCTCAGCTCTACCTCCTCAGTGGTGGTCAGTGGTCGCTCACCCCAGGGTTGGGGGCCGGAAGTGGCTGGTCTGAGGCTGCTGCCTGGCACCCACCTGCCTCGCAGGGCAGGCCTGGATGGAGCCCACGGTTGGCCCCCAGCTGGCCCTTGGAGGAGGAGCAGAGATTGATCAGATGAGAAGGGAAGGCCATCCAGGCAGGAGGCTGCGTGTGCCACGGCTGGAACTGGGAAAGGACTTGGAGTCTTGGAGTGGGATGAGATGAAGGAGGCAGGGACCATGGGGGAGGCCAGCCTGGTGTCACGGGGTCAGGCTGACGGAGAGGATGGCAAGGATGCACTGAGAAGTGCCTAGGAATCCTGAGGATCTGGCGACTCCCTGGACATGAGTTGCGAGGAAGAAGAGCCAGATTTTTGAATTTGGGGAGCTCAGAGGCCCCCTGCCCTCTCTGCTGTACTCTATCCTTCCAGCCACAGCCAGTCTTCTGTTTATCACCTCTGTCCCTCCTCTATACTGAACTGATCTCACCAATGTCAATGCTGACCTCTTTGCTGCCGAATTCAAAGGACGATTTCAGCCCTTTGCCAGCTGCCCTGCCCTGGGCCACCTGCCACACACCCGGAATGAGCTCCCCCCACTCGGGTACTTGATATGCCCAGCCCTCTGTTTCCAGCCACTCCCCTAGGGCCAGTCCTTGCTGGACATTCCCACCTTGGGGGACCCAAGACCAATCAGAAGCAGACGAAGCAGTTCTTGCCTCTACTCAGCATCACCCACTAAACCCTCATCTCTCCCAGCCCCAGAAGTGTAGGAAGCCACACCCCACCTTGTTCTCTCTCCTCCTCTGTGCTCCATGTCGAATCCTGCTGGATTTCCCTCCAGATGATCGTGGAATCCTTTACTCTTCCCTGGGACCACCGTTACTGCCTCCTCTTGAATCTCCATCAACCCCACACAGCTATGACTGTTTTTCAAAATGAGTATCCGACTGGGTCACACCCACCCTACGAGCAGTTAAAAGCTTTCCGTGCTCTTAGCATCCCAATTCTTCAACAGAGTCCCACAGTCCCCCTGCCATCCTTAACTCCAGCATAAGGGAAATGATGAGAAAAGGATGTCAAGTGAGAAGATCATGGAGGAGCAAAGCCCGGGGACCCTCACTGGTATCTATGGGGTAAGCCAACGAAGTACACACAAAGACGCACGCAGTCAGACAGTGTGCAGAGGTGCAGTGGGGTGGCCAAAGCACAGCACGTCAGACTGCAGAGTAGCTTCGGGAAAGGAGCCTGGTTTGCAGAGAGACCATGGGCCATGGAGATGGCTCCCACATCACAGCAGGAAAGCAAGTGACCTCTGCACTCCACCTCACAGGGCTGCTAGGAGCACTAATGAGTTCCTCCATGGAAAGTTCTCCAAATAGCACCAGGCTCCCTCTATGCAGACGCACTGTTGTCATTAGCATCAATTTCACTGTTTTAGTCAGGTGCCAGGCAGGGGCAGGCCTCATGAGGCCATGGTCTCTGTCAGGGTCCACACTATTGGGTGCTGTTAGGACCAGGAGATATCTATAGCTTCTGGATGTAGAAGACCTCTTCTCCCAGAATGCAGACCCTGCCATTTTAAAATCCACACCCTGACCTATAGCATTCTGCTCTTGGAATGTCAGAATTTGGGAGCTGGGAATAATGCAGTACTCTGCAATACTCTGAGTCAGCACACCAATAAGTCAAAGACACTGAGGATCATATGAGGGGTGCCAGCCATGGGTCCCAGCAATAGGCCACTGTCAGGGATACCTGTCTATCCACTACAGCAAGACATCTAGCCAGCATGTGGTTGGCTGTGACATTATGTCCTTGAAAGAGACCCAACAGCACATCTCTGGCCGCCACAGTTTGGGTTGACCGTGAAGCAGCCATGGAGCGTGACCGTGTCTGGCCCACACTCCAGGGACCCCAGCCAACAGATGTTCCTGTTATGCGGAGCATTAGGCCCTGGCATAGCCAGCTGCTGCTGCCAGCAGGGTGGAGGACACGACTTCAAGATAGCAAGCAGAGATGTGAGGGCTGAGAGGCAGAGGGGATGCAGGAGCCAAGTAGGTGGCACGAGGGGTGACAGGGGCTCCCGGAATGGTGGGTAAAGGGGTGGTGGCAGGCAAGAAGTGCATTCTCCTCATGACCAATAGAGTGTCTGCCATGTGCCAGGGACCCTCTAGGCACCAGGATACGGGACTGGAGGAAACAGACAAAGCTACAAAGCTCACAGTGGAGGGCAGAGCCAGGGAGGGTGGGGTCTTTCCTCGGCATCTGCACTGGAAGCCCCAGACTTGTGTTCTGGCCTCCTCTGCCATGGCTCACGTTCCCGAGGTGCCCATCAAGGGCCTTGTGTCTCTTGGGACGTCCAACTCTGAGTGACCAGAGCTCAAATCTGGAACAGAGATTCCCCCAGGGACTTGCTGGTGCCTCAGGGAAGGCTGGGACAAGCAGGAGCTGCCCTCCAAGGAGCACTGGACAAGGCACCCAACCCAACCCCACCCCATGACCTGGAAAGGCTAAGGACCCTCTAGCACAACTCTCAAAGTGCTCCTGGTGCCTTCTTCTGTCCCCATCCTGGGTCCCCTCCAGAGTCCTAAGGGCAGCTCCTGTGGCATCGGAGTAGACTGTAAACCTAAAATGAGACCTGGTCACCCCATGTCCTAATCCCAGTGTCTGGTTTAGTGGACATCCTTGAGCATGGGGAGCTCACAGCCTTGGAGCCGAGGAGAGCAGGAGGGGGCTCTTGAGAGGGCCTTAGGTTTCTCTAGCTAAGGACAGCAAGATATCTTCCTGCCACTCAGGTAAAATGCGACCTGTTTCCACATTCCCATTCATTTCACATTCCAGTCTCAACACACTTTAGTTTTGGCGAGATTGGAAGCTCAAGGATGCCTTTTCTCCTTTCTCCTCTCCCTCCTCCTTTTATTCTTTTTCTCTCTTCTCCCTGTCTTGTTCCCCTCCCCCTCCCCCTTATGATCCATACTCAAGAAATACGAGTCAGACCCTGCAGAATGGTACAGGAGTGAAGAGAAAGGACCCTGTCTCTGCTTCACAGAACTTACAGTCTGCCAGATCATGCTAATGATTTTGGATGTTATGCTAAATGCTCAGATGCCGCCAGATGGTGGTGTCTTAGTTTCCTGTTACTGCTAAAAGTTTGTAAGCAACTTACTGTCTTCAAATGGCACAAATTATTAGTTCTCGGGGTAAGAGGTCTGAAATGGGTCTCACTGTGCTGAAGTCAAGGTGTTAGCAGGGCTGTGCTTTTAGAGGTCCCCAAAGAGTCCTGTCTCCTATCTTTTCCATATTCTAGAGGCCACCTACTCTTCTTGGCCTATGGTCCCCTTCCCCTGTCTTCAAAGTCAGAAGCTTAGCCTTCTCAACTCTCTCTTTCTGACTCTCCCCTCTTCTTTCACTTATAAGGACTTTCGTGCTTACACTGTGTCTGCTCAAGCAACCTGGGAGAATCTCCCCATCTCGAGACCCTCAACATAACTGCCTATGCAAATCTGCATCCCTCTGCCATGTAAGGTCACATCCACACCGTTCCAGGGAATAGGATGTATCTTCTATCTCTGGACAGTGGCAAGGGTCCTTTTTCTGCCTACCAAAGGGGTTTTGATCTCATTCAGTAGTGGGTGAAGACAATATATTTCAAGAGCTGAAAGCAGACATGAAAGACTTGTCAAGGCACCGCTAACACCCTGGGGAGGGATGAAGGAGTCTGACAGGGAGCAATGGCCGCAGAGATGGAGAAGAGTCCTGTACAGGACAGTGTGGAGACAGGGATGACAGGGCTTGGAGACAGACCAGCTGGACATGGCTGGCCAGAGTGCCAGAGGTGGTTAGTGCTCACCCATCTCACGTGACTTTTCATCACATCCCGAGTTCTTAGCCACAGCAAGAGGGTAGAAATGATGGACTAGTCTCTAAAACGCCCCTCACAGGATTCCAGAGCCTTTACCTCTCTTCCCTCTCTGTAGGACCCTTGCATGTCACATGCAGAGTTCACATGGGGGTGGCAGCGTTCCCGTTTGGGAGGTGCCTGAATAAACTGTGTGAAGTGGGACTCTGCCTCCACCTCTGCTGACCACACTGGCCCGTAACATAGGCAAGCAAGAAATGTCACTGTGCTACATCTCTGAGAGTATACGGTTGATTTGTCACTGCTGCGTGGTCTAGACTATCTTGAGTCACACAAGGAAGGGCAGAGAGGTACCATGATGTCACCCAGATTTCTGGCTTGGGCGTCTGGATGGATGGATGAATGAATGAATGGATGGACTGACAGACAAATGAACAGATGAATGAACTATGCTATTTACTATAGTAGGAAGGGCTAGGTGAGCAGCAGATAGAGG